TGCAGATGAAAAAAAGCTTACTATCACTTTCTGTTAAAATTATTTTCAAAATACTGAATATGGAGGCCCTACCCAGTATTAGTAGGGTGTTCCTAATAATTTGCTCAGTGAGTGTATGATCTACAAAAAGGCTGTTTATCAGTTATCCATTGCTATTGATGGGTGGCCACTGGGCAGCCTCCAAAAGATGCTACACCTCCAAGACAGATGTTTCAAAATAAAACACACTCCCACATCTCTCAGTCTCAAAATATTATCACAAAAACATGAATAGAATATAAAAACTCTGAGGACTTTAAACTGTGAATACTGTGTACTAATATTAAGTTATTAAAATCATTACGAAATACAACTTTAAAAATTCTATTCACTTTGGATGTCAGCTTTTAAGATTCTACATTCAGGAAGCCTTATCTTTTTAAGTAAGTTAATATGATCCCCCTCTTGGTCCTAAATTGATTCAATCAATACCAATAAAAGAAAAATCTATCAATGAATGTTTGGTTAAGGCAATTATCAAAAAAGTTTATATAGATAAATCCTCCATCAATCGACTAATCAATTAACATACTATTTAATTTCAGCTCTAGTACATTACATTCTTTTTTTAACAGGTGATGATAGTATTTATGTTTACAACTTGCTTGTGACTGGATAAATAAAGTTTTTAAGTTTCTAGTAAAGTTACTGATGATTGTTTCTTCAGATAATAACTGGTGTTATTTAGTTTTATGGTTCAAAGCTCATGCAGTCAGATTAGGACTGCTACAACCGATTATACTAATTGTCAATTAATCTACCAACCTTCTTTTAATCAATTGTTTGGTCTTTAAAATGTAAGAGATCAGTAAAAAAAAAAAAAATCCCATTACAGTTTACCAAACTCAAAGAGTATGTCTTCAAAAGTCTTGGTTTGTACAACCAGTAGTCCAAAACCCAAAGATATCAGGTTGATATACTTTGTTCTTCTTTAAAGTATCAACTAATTTCAGCTATAACATATTACATTCTTTGTTTAACTTGAATAAAGCTTTTGTGTTCATTTACATCTGACTGTTTTTTTTCAGATAAACACTGTTGAAACTGTTGACTGACCAGCTCCTTCTTCAGGTGCTAACGTTTAGCCGTTGGTTAGCAGTCAGGCTAACTTAAACTAGGATAAACAGCTCGGCTGTTCTGACTGTGAAGCCAGAGACAACCGTTTAATGTAACGTTTTCTACTAGGCACAACACAAACGCTGACATTGAACTCCGCGTACAAAAACAAACATTCAGTTTTTACAATGAGCCACATGAACGTTGCATGAGACAAACCGATGAGTGACGTCCTAGCCGGTGCTGCCTTGAAGTCGGTTTCACAGTCGATACGTGTATCCCATCACCTTGACCGGAGCCTAACCTTATCTCTAACACCAACAACTCGTCTTTGCGGTCCTTAACCTGACTCCCACCTTACCCCAACCACAGACAGTTATCTCTGCTGTCACTAATTTTAACTTTACCTAAACCCTTACCATAATTTACATGTGGGAAACAAAGGTGGAACGGACTTCGACACAGACCTATTTTACAGAGTATAATAAATGTTTGAGCGCCACCTGGTGGTCTGGAGGTACAATGGTCAACAGTGCTCCCATAAAGTGCTCCATAAAATAAGGCAATTATGGAAGAAGTGACTCCATAAATGTAAGAAGTTCTTGTTTTTCCAGGATTGGTTTGACAATGAAATCCTATTGGTGGGTCGGCTTTTCAACAGTGAAGGTCTTTTACTTACATATTAGGAATTTAATGAGAAATTTGGTCTCCCTATTACACCCAAAGAATACTTTATCACTTTCTGATACAGTGCCATTTATGAAGGATGTTTTAAGTTGTAATGAATGTCTAATTAATGGTTGATAAATAATTTACTTTCTATAGCAGTTATAAGCATTAAAAAGACCAGCTTTTGAGTTGCCAGGTTGTGGAAAATCCTCCTCCAGAATGATATTCATACAGACCCCTCCAATGAACTGTTTGACTGTTTTTTTTTTTCTTCTGGGAAAATGGCTGCAGGACACCTGCACCAAAATCCATTTATAAACTGGTTATTCACATTTACAGCTGCAGACTTGATGACTCATGACTCACACTTATGATTGCAGGTGACTGACTAACTTTTGCTCATGGCTCATTTGAAACTATGACCCTTTATTAATGTCATACTCATATTTATCACTGAAAACCACCTTTAGGACATTATATACAATTTCTCTTGTGTGTTTGTGTAGAAAGGGCTCCTCCTTGTGTTCCCTCACTGTAACTGCTGAGAATTATGAGTAAAACTATCACCATTTATATTTTTGAGATATGTGATTATTGTTCCATACCTATTGTGTTATTATGGGTTTTTTTTAAAGTAATTGTGATTTCCACTAAATATTTTATGATTCATCATCGCAAACAATTTTTTGTTAACTTAAACTCAGTGAAATCATCAGAAGACTTTGTTACTAGCCTACTATAAACTTAACATGTGTACTGTTTGTTTGTTATAATTGATTAATCATTGTGCATTACATGACTTGTGACATATATGAGGGCAATATTACTCATACTGGTTACACTTTCAGGGTTCAATGGTCAGAACAATAAAAACTCAATATGTTTAATGTTAATGACAGAATTCAGTCTGAGAGGACAATGACAGCTGAATCAACTGATCACATGTCCATCATAAATCCAGCTCAGAACCATCATTAAACACCTTGTTCTTATGGTTTACAGACATATTAAATTCAGACATATGCATACAGTACGTATTACATATACTATACTGTATGTAGTTAAACAGTTAACAGAAATGACTGTATCCCTGACCTTGATGAGGATGAAAATTATGTGAATCATTTGCTGTGGCCTTCACAGTCACCAGATCTCAAAAGTGTGTGTGTGCGTGTGTGTGTGTGTGTGTGCTCTCAACTTCCTTGTTCAATGTTCATGGTACAAGTTAGATAGTGGAACAAGCTGACATTTTGGTGTGCAGAACTTAATTGCACGTCTTCATTAAAAAGGACAATAACACACGAAAAGTGTTAACAGCGTTTAGGCAGCATCATCAACATTAATTTGCACATAGCACAAGTAGGACAATGAAATTAGGCAATACCTCCTAAACTGGCAATTTTCATTATATAACGTGAACAACTGCAGTATTGTACTTCATGCATTGACCTGTTACTCAATATGCAGTCTAGAGTGACTTTGTGTTTTATTTTTATCCCTGTATTGTTTTTGTAGTGGCTGTTTGTCCAAAATCAAATCAAACTCAAACTTAATCAAGCAGTCTCTGATACACCATAGGAATGTAATGTACTCGGCAAAAGAAGTCCATTGTTCAAATCAGGTTTTGTGTTTTCTTGATGGTTTATTCATTCATACATCCCTGCCTAATTGTTATAAAATAAAACCAAATTGACCAAATAAACAACAAGAAATACAAAGCAAACTCAAGAAAGAGGCTTACTAAAATAAATACTAAAATGCTAACTTAAGTGGCCTTCTAAATTAATCAAGACTAATTAAGATCAGGTGTCAGATGTTCAAAAAAATCATTTGTTCAAGACAAATATAACAAACACAAATAGCTACTACGATATTCCTGAAATATTTACGCATTGATATTTTCACACTCATAAGACAAGGGTCTGTTATTGGGTGGAAATGGCAGCTGTGGTTACTGCTGACCTCCTGTTCAATAATTCAGTCTCTCCGGCAGCTCTCATCAATAATAAACGACAGGTTGAGTATTTGAGGTAGAGCGTTTCAGGACAGTGGTGACGCTGCGGCTCCGGATTTGTCAGACAGGCTGTCAATCTTCCACATAGCCTGCCCCAAAATCCCACCCAGCTGTCAGTCATTTTACGTCGACGTTCTCTGCCTGCGTAAAGATGGCGGAGTTACAGAAAGACAGAAATAATTTTTCTTTCAAAATAAAGTAGTTGAGTCGCATTCAGTTGAACACCGGGCAATTCAACCATTTAAAGAGGTAGGCCTACTCTACGGATTTAACACATCAAAATCTGTTTGGCTCCAGAGAAAGCTACACGAAATCTGATACATGTCAGTTGAGGCAATGTTGGTCTGAAAATTTAAAAGAAAATCTGGAGTTGTGGACTTCGAAAGAAGTGAACTTACCAGAACTTTGTAGTCTGTTCCCCGTCTTTGCTCAGGCCGATGTGCTCATGGGCCACTAGCATAACACACAAATCCCCCGGCAGACTTTGACAAGGAAGAAGAATGAATTGAATAAAAAGCAGGTTCTGCTGCATCAATTTTAATATTTTTTTTTATGCTGTCCACCATTAGTCTGTCAGTGCTATAGGTGCTAAATTGATGGAGCTCTCTTTGAGGCATTGACGATGTTGTTAATTTATTTTCATCCTTAGAAAAAATGGTCATGTTTTGTTTAGGCTAAGCTATATAAGCTATCAATCACACTTTATTTTTATAGCACTTTTTTAATACTTTTCATTTAAGGTGTTTTAAAGTGCTTATGGGACTGACAAGTCAACAGACAGAGACAGTACAAATAGAGTATATGGGAAAAAAACTACATTTTATTTAATTTATTCATAATTACACAAATAATGACATATTCTCATTGTTAGATCACTTTAAATCAGTATCTGGGAACAATTTTGTATGTTTGAATTTCAATTTGTAGCTTTTAGATAATAAACTCGAACTCATGTTCTTGGTCAAGTATGTTGACATGGAATTTGACTCTAGTTAAAAGTGGTTTGCAACATAATACAGCGAAACAAAGATATCAACACTTAGGCCTAGCTTTAGAAAAGAGACAAAAAGGAAACAAAAAAAGATTAAATTAAAATTGATTATAACTGTCGCTTTTATTTTTGTGAATTTTTTTAAAAAAGGGTGCAGCATCTTTAACGGCTTTTATTTTGGAATTCATATGCGGACGTTGTGTAGCACGAGCTTTCTGACTTGACTGTGGTGGTGTTTCTGCTGGTGCTGGACGCGGTGGATAGCAGCTGGATATAAATCTATAAAGGTGGGTTTTTTGTCTTTATTAATCTGTCGCATAGACATGAAAATCATACATCTTATATTTAAATACATTGTATCTTGTATTTATCGTTTCGGGCGTTTATTGAAATATCAAGTGAAGGATTATAGATTAACGAACCTCTAGCATATAGATGCTTGCTTTAGAACAGCTGTTTCCATGGTGAAAACCATGAAACCGTGCTAGATGTATGAAGTACATATTTTTTTCGTGATATCTGTTTGGGTGGATGTGAAGGCTGCCGATGGTTTAGTGGATCTATGGTTTGACTCAGGGCCTGTCCTGCAGGAAAAGGCGTTTCACACCGTCCGATGGTTTGAGTAATGAAAAAAAGGGGTCTAAATGGGTCTGGGGTAGGAACAATAGAATATAAAACCCAAACACTTATATCCATTCACAGAGAAAACTGGAGGAGCGTAATCATATGTTATTTTTGACACGCATATGTACAATTATCATTCATCTTCTAATAATATTTTCATGAGTATTAGGCCTATGATGAAATAACCTAAGGTCACCGCTGAATTCACTTTTACTCCGAATATTAGGATGATTATAGGAATATTACTGAGATTTAACACATTACGTTGAGCCATATGGAAGACTGCTGTACTCCTTGCGGTAGGGTACAACAATCTCGGTTAGTTCCTTCGTATGAATTGGCTTATAGCCTCTGTGTGTGCTTTCCATAAGCAGGAAAAACAGAAAAACTGAAAATAAAACAAAGAAACAGCTTTTAATTGACTCTCTATGTTGGGAGTCCCCCAAAATTCATAGTTGTACTGCACATATAAGATAAACGTGGAAAATATACAATCTATTATTTCTCAGAGTTAATTGAATGTTGGCTACCTGGATGAATATTGGCAGCATGTACAGAAACATTTGTTTTTGTCTAGAATTTGTGGATTTTGAAACAGATTGTGATGTGCAGTGCAGCAGTTGAGTCTATTGATGAAAGTGTCTGTGTTGTGTGTGTGTGTGTGTGTGTGTGTGTGTGTGTGTGTGTGTGTGTGTGTGTGTGTTACAGTGACAGCATCTGTTGGCTTTGAAGCACCATTCCCTGCTGTTTTCAAAGTTACACTATTGAAAACTATATAACGTAATGATTCAAGCCTTGATGGTCATAAGTTTGTTTATTAAAGTTAAAGACTTTGGTCCTAGAGCAATGTAGACTATATGATTTAAACTCCTCTGGCAGAGGTTCTGGTGCTTCAGTTTTTCTTTTAAAACTGCGAACATGGATGAATTACCGAACAGGCTTATCTGGCACTGGCCCAGGGGCCCGATGGGTCAGGGGTCCCTGGGCCAAAACCTCTATGAAGTGTCTGGTAATATTCATGGTTGGAAAGTCTTAGAGCTCAGTTAAAAGACACAAAACAACCACAAAGTGACCACAAAGGGACACAGATGGACACAGAATATCCACCAAGAGTCGCAAAGCGACAACATGACTACAACCAGTGCAACTGCATAGGTACTGCAATCGCAACAACCACAAAGAGACTCAAAATGACCACAAAGAGATAGAAATAGATACAGAACATCCACAACAATACTATCAGAGAGTGAATATGAGCTTACAATCTGCAGGCCACATCTGCACTTCCTCTGCTGACAGTAAAGATACTGGCAGTCAGACCTGAAGGCAAGAGTGACGCATCTGCTGTTTCTCATGGGAAAACACACGGATGACATCCAAATTGTCTGTGACGAACGCTGCTAAAGTACCAACCAGGGTCAAACTGATGTGCTGGGTGGATATCTTTTATTACATTTCAGATGTTAAAGTTAAGAGTCAGAGATTCTTGTCTGACCACAGATCCAGAAAAACACTAGAGTATCCGATTTATTCCCTCTTTTTGCGATGAAGACATTTCATGCCGTAAACAACTGCTGCTACTGAAAGATCTAGTTTCAGTGAAGACTTTTACTGTCTGAAGCTGCATGAGAAGCTTTTACATATTCATAAGAAAAACATAAGAGACCTGAAACAGAAACATGGAATTCTTGTAGGTTTTACAGCTTGAAAATGCTCAATTATAAGCACAATATATTAGCTATCAGCAGCTTTTAGGCAAAAACTATTAATAATTAGAACAGGTCTTTAAAAAGCTCTGTCAAAGCCTGTATCATCATACAGGGAATACAGAATGCTAATAAGTGTCATTACCATTTGAAAGAAACAAATTTGGATCAATATGTTCTTTAAGACACATGCAGTAGGTATGTAAAAGCTGAAGAAATGTGTGAAATAAGTAAGTAATATTAAACTGGTTCACAAACAGACACAAGTCCTGGATTCATCTGCAGACTCTAGCACCAAAAAACATCTCCCTCATCCCGCCTGCTCCCTGCTCCGCTTTCTGTTTGCTGTGGAGGAAAAAAAAAATGAAGAGATGCTATTTTTAGCTTCCCGTCCTCATCTGCATCCCCACGCTTCCTAGAAAAGGAGGCACGTGATTGGTGGAAACAGGGAAAAATGCCGTCTCAGGCAACCTGGGAGCAGGACAGCAGCTGCGTGACGCCACTGCTGTGTTCGTGAGGAGACATCTTCTCTTCTCTTGGTACATTGTTAGTTATTGTTTCACACAAAAGGCTGGTTAAAGTGATAAATGATGATTTAGGTTTTGTAACTGAATTTTACCAGATTTCAGCGATTCAGTTTTAGTGTTGCGCTCTTCCAGAACAAGTCTGTAATCTTGAATATTGTTAACTCTTTGGCACCAAAAACACTGAATACTTAGTGTAGAAAGAGAACAGCACAGCGGGCAGTGAGGAAAGATGCAAATGCCAGCGGTTTGTTAGAGGGGTCAGAGGTCAAATGGCTGCTGATTTCCCTTTTTAAACAACAGCAATAACCCCCCTAAACTAAATTGATTTGAGTTTTATCAGCCTGGAAATGACTTGAATGATTGAGGATGGAAAGAGTTATACTTCAGTTTCCTCACACATTACATCATCTTAAAATGGAAATACTCCAGTAAAAAGATAAAATACAATACGATATGAAATAAAATACAAGTACCTCTATGTTGTAGTTAAGGACAGTACTCTAGTAAATTTACTTCATTTCTTTCCACCCTATTTGTTCTAATGGAGAAGGCGACGAGATGCATTTGCTTGCTTTCACCTCATTTACTTTGTACATGGTTCAATCTGATTGATTTTTAATCTGTGAAGCAGCAACACTCACTAATGTCAAAACAATTTGAGCTAGAGTCTTTGATTGACCCCTCGATTAGGAAGCATCGATGGAGCCCTTTCAAAGTAAGTGTGTAACTGTGCTTAAAAAACACAAGAGGAAAAGAGGGATGCTGCACAGCTGGCAGTGCGGATGGAGGATGAAGACAAGGGTTTGATTTGGAGATTTTCACTTGATTAAATGCTGATGTTGATCAACTTTGTCCATCTCTTGTGAGATCATATGGACTTGATGCTAAAGGTCATACTTGTAGACTTTCTCCACAACGTGGGAGAAAGAAATTTTTTACCTTGACAGTTTTGGTCAGACCACTTTTTTTATGTGGGGATGCAAACAACAATTATTTTCATGATTAATTTATATATTCTATAGTTCTATCAATTTACTGTGCTCCTATACTATACTCCTATTGTTTGAGTTTGTTTGGTGGAAAGTACCATCAACCGTGCTTTTAAGCGCTTTTTATTGTAAATACTACAAAAATAGATGTTGTCTGGTGCTTTGTTGCCATTAATCTTTTGGTACATGAAATGGATTGTGCGGCCCTCCTAGAAAGATATTCAGCTACCTGATGCTTCAAGTCCAAGCAGCTTATAACTTCACAGATTTTGTTTTACACCAATTAGGTGATCGCTCACCTCTGAAAAATATGCATCTGAAGTAAAGCTATGACTGTTACCATGAGGTCAGGTGGTGTTGAGCACGTTTGTCTCAGCAGGTTTCTCAGTAACTGTCTCTAAGCAGGAAGGTGTTTGGGTGATCTGGGATCAGCTGGGGATTAGCTGTGAGTCTGCGGGGAGCTGGCCAATACTGATTAAATGGGCCCGACTAGCTGGCCGAAGCAACACTTAGCTCTGGATCAATCCAGCTCCAGTAGGACGTCAATCTCCTTTAGGTGACAGGTTTAGAGGAGAGCTTGATGATGTCATTGTCCGGCACTGAAACTCTCGACTCTTAGTCGTGATTAAATTATGATTAAAAAAAACAAAACAAATACTCCCTCTGGTTATAGAAGGTGGCTTGAAAATCCAGGCAGAGAACTGAAGGACTAAGAACTGTCAGTGTACTCTCGAGTAAAGCAGATAACACCCCAGAGCCCTCATGGAGATGGATGGATGTTAAGCTGCGTGTTGCTGATAAAGAGCATTTCATTTTTAGGAGAACTCCCTTGGTTTTCCGACTCAGTGTTGTGATAATTTCAGGGTTTTGTATCACTATATGTCAAATATGTTTAATAATGCACTTTTTCTGGCCTTGAATAGAAATCTCACCATCAGAACTGGCCCATGTCTGAGCTCGGAAGCGTATAACAGAAAACTCCAGTTTAATGTGACCTTATGTGTTCAGGCAGCAAGTCAGCAAATCCCATCATGTTAAACTAAAACTAACAGCAATCACATGGGTGAGAGATGTAGATATCAGAGTTATTTTTGCCATAATTATCATCAGCCCAAATATCCATGTCCCTCTTCTTCCATCTCCCCTAACTCCCTCCATGATGGAGGAGCTGAGTTCTCCTCAGCAGCTACTGTCGGTGTCCATTTTGCAGTTTTTGTCCCTCCTAACATTCAGTCTCGTCTCAGCGTCTCGATTCTGGTTGTCAATGTGAGACTATTTTAATCTCACACCCAGTCTGATGGTTACTCATTCATGGGTGAAAAACTGCATATGATGTGTTCTTAATATTACAGATGTTTTATTTTGCTGCTGCAGCTTTGAAATGCCAGAATCGCTTGGGCACATAAAAAATACATATCGTAAAACTAAAAGCCAAAATAGT